TGTGTGTGTGTGTGTGTGTGTGTGTGTGTGTGTGTGTGTGTGTGTGTGTGTGTGTGTGCGCGCGTGAGGTGGTCTGGGTTGTGTAGCGCATACGCCTGTGTGCAGAAGTGTTTTCAATGCACAATTTCACCCGTCATGAATAATGAACTCCAGACAACTTAAATCTCTCCTCAACTTAATTCCCAGTGCTGGCAGCACGTTTGCTTGTCTTGTTGCAAGATGAGTTCATGCTTGGAAAGATATGATACATAATTCACCCCATGTAACCACCGAACTCCAACATGGCATCCCTGTGGAGGGGTGACGGGAGAGGTGTTGCTGTATGGAATCATAGTTCCTCATTTTTGATCATTTATTTATGTGACGTGTGAAAACCACAGCACACAAAAAAACCCTCATAAATATTTCATCATATCAGTCACTTTGGACAAAAGGTATTAGGATTCTGGAAACCGTGCATAACTTTTGCATTGACTTACCCTGCGTGCTGTTGTGGTTATTGGAGACTAGTCTGAACTGATTCACATGCAGTTTAGTTCAAACATTATTTAAATCACCAAACCAAGCAGAGTCCACTCACTGCTGTTACTGATGAGCCTGGTATGCTGCGTAATCCTGCACCACCACCTTTCCACACGTTAGTCTTCACGATCATAAATACTGATTAGAAGTTTATTTCTGGGAGCTAGGGGAAGAAATTCTGTCATGCTCGTGGGGAATCTGAAAACTATCAGGAATGGGGAAAAAAAAAACCCAAAAAGAAAGACAAACTAAGGCAAACTTCCTGGTTCAATAAAAAAACTCATTTTTGTATCTTAGCATTTCCTTAATCTCAATCCTACTTGCACATTGACATCAGTAAGATGAATTTTTTATTTCATTTATTTTTTACTTTTTATTTGTATTTTTTGATGACCCTCGCAGTAACATGTGCATTTCCCCAGCGTGGGATTAAAAGTCTTTGTCTGTTGGTTTATTTACCCATAGTCTAAATCTAATGTATGTATGGAAGTGTGTATGTTGGAATGAATGTAAGACTGTACGTGTGGCTCATGTGTTTTAAAGTCCACCCCAACAATATGGGGTGGGGGGGGGGGACATTGAAGCTCAAGATTTAACAGTGAGGTAATGGAGCAGATAAAAAATGGCCTGGTTAAATGTGTTTTGTTTTACTGAGTGGTAGAAGCAAATAGCAGTGCCTCACAAATCCTGAACGAAGTCCACTGCCTGTGCAAACACAGTCAGTGGACCAAACCACTGTGAGGTACATGAGAGGGGTGCGGTGCCACCCCAGCTGCACTTTCAGCTCCACCCCTGCAAAGATGTAGCTTTTTATATGTTTTTTTAAACAGATCTACATTTATATACTATGACTTTGACATAGTGGAAGAAGTATCGTCCCCAGCATCCATTTCCAGAATGTTTAACAGTAACAGAAACAGGATCAGCTGATTCAGTTCTGGTTCACAGGGACCCCAGACAGGTCACCAGTCTGCTGCAAGGCCAACACACAGAGACAGACAAGCATTCCCACTCATATAATAATTATAAGTGATGATATTACTAAATCCACTTGTTTGTCATGCAAATGAAAGTCACCGGTTGTTACCTGTTACCTCTAATGAGGGATTTATGGTCTACTGTTTGTGTCTGTTTGACTAAGCAAACAGAGGAATTGTGGGAATTCAACAAATCTCCAGAGTCCTGACAGCCAACAGCTACTGCATGTAGATCTGGCCAAGGCACTACCGCACCAGGACACTGAGAAAGCTCAGAAGAACCAGAGGATCTTCTCCGGGTCACCAGGCGAAATCTTATCAAATATTTTGTACTCCTGAAGCAACTCTAATTATCGCTGCTTAATTAACTGACTGTGTGGATAAATTCAATCACCGAACTTTCTTCAGTGTATTTAAAACATAAATAATCATTAAAACAACTCCTTGCTTAGATGGTACTTCTGTTTTGACTCTTTACATTCATGCACTGCTCGAGGACCAGCTTCTCCAGAGACTGTGATCTGCTCTCCACGCTCTGCATCATCCTTCTGGGTCATTAAAGCCCTCACGTCTCCTCCTCAAATGAAACAGCTTAGCCTCTTTTATGTACTGCTGACCTGGGCTGTAGAACACCTCGCTGGCCTCCTACTTGCAAATGGACAGGTGAATTCCTGAGAGCTAAAATGAGAGCTGCTGATACTGGGAGGTGCTGAAAGGTCTTTGCGGGGCAGTAAATGGTAAACAATGTATTTATCAGCTTATCTAAGAAATGAAAATTTTATTATAACATGTTTAGATGCATTGATGGTGTCTGGGTGTTTGTCACCACCTGGAATAGGCTCCTGTAACCTGTCATAAGATGCATCAGCAGTAAGGTTTATTGATGGATGGATAATGTCATTGATTAGTGTCAAAAATGAATATTGTCTGATATTGTAAAAAAATCAAAGATGAATGTTGGTTTCCATCACAAAAACTCAGTATGGCTATATTGATAGACTTAAACTAGATGCCTACTTGTTCTAAACTGTAAATAAAATCCAAACATGTATTTCTTGTCTCTCTCTCTGTGTGTCTGTGTGTGTGTGTGTGTGTGTGTGTGTGTGTGTGTGTGTGTGTGTGTGTGTGTGTGTGTGTGTGTGTGTACACTGTAAAAAAAAGAACATTCAGGTTGTAACCTCAGCTGAGAGAGAATGAAGAGAAAAAAAAGGAGATAAAGCCTGTTGCTGTTTGCTGAAGTCAGTGCTTTTGTGTATGTGTGCTGTGGGACCAAGACAGCCTCCAACCTGAGATTGAGGGCACTTGTCTGCTGAAATTGGGGCCAGCAAATGGCATTTTATTTGAAAATGTACTCAGAACTGCTCAGACCTGATGTGGGCTTTGGAGGGACGGTGACAGGCAAATACACAAACTCACATCACGGACAGGAACATAAAAGCCAATTAGGAACAGCAGAGACCAAGGCTCTGGGCCTCGACAAAACACTGCGACCTTTCGAAAGTACAAATTCCCAATGAGGAAACACTTTGATGTCTCCTCCTGAGCGTCATTTCCAACGCATTCAATTCAATTTATTTTGGAGAATAACAGACATTAATGACGAGCGTGTCTGAGAAATCCAAAAGAAAAAGGCAAGCAATAAATAGATGAACACATGAAAGACATTAAGCAAACATAATTGCATTCCTTGGGAGCTTTAGATAAGAAAGCAAAGGCAGCGGAGGAGTGGATTCAAGTAGCAAATTGAGGTTGAACAGTTAACAACGAGGCCGAGCTTTATAAAGATGCCTGTTGCTACCTGTGAAATCTCACTGTAAACACTGAATATTTTTCCTCCATTCTTCAGACGAGGCTTCCCAGCCAAGCAACTCACTTTCAGCTTATGGATTCCTGCAGCTGTGATAGTGTCTGCGAGTCAGACTCTCACAGAGCTGGCATCGAAGTGAAGGGATGAAAACCAGCGATGCTGGCAGATTTGCTTCAGGGGAGGAGCCGTAGCAACATGCTTACCACATACAGAGGAGGAAGGCTGTGACAGGGTGACACTTGGGGTCTGTTTTCACCTGGGCATGCACTGCAGGAACTATGAGATTTTCTTGAGGTGCTGTAGGATGCTTTTTCCACACATGCAGCCATTTTGTGGCAGCAGTGGGATGAAAGGCACAGCTGAGGCAGTGTCACTGCTACATCAGAGGCAAATTGCAGTGTTCATGTCAGACGTTGCTGTGGTGTGTGCAAAGCTGTTAAAAGTAAAAAATCCTCTTTTTTTTTTCTTACATCTGCTCACAAACTTCCAGGAATGTGCAACTTTTAAATTGGCTGCACAGCTGGTTTTCAGCTCTAGATGGCTACAGCACCAACAGATTATTTCTAACAGATGCTGTGGCACAACACTGCCCCCAACAAACACTGTGAAATCTAAAGCAATATATTTGATGTAGAGCTAACTGCTTCATTATAAAGTAATAATTAGAATATTTAATTTATCCTGTTCAGGGTTGTGGGGTTGGTGAGAGCTAAGTACGCTCTGATCAGGTGACCAGCCCAGGGTTAACACACACACACACACACACACACACACACACACTTAAATTTAGAGTCAGCAGTTAATGTAACATGCATGTCTTTGGACTGTGGGAGGAAACCAAACTTCTCAAAGAGAACCCACTCAGGACCAGAGACAACATGCAAACCCCACACTGAAAGGCAATTTCTATAAAATAATAGAAAATAATTCTATAGAAATGATCATATGTGCATCGCTGACAAGCTTCTGATGTTTTGTTTTTAAATGTTATTGTGGCATCCTGCAAAACTGCATTTGTAGGTCTCCCAGCAGCAAACCTTTAATTCTAAAACAGAGTTTTTATTTATTATGAGGTTGCAGGTGTGGACGAAAAGAAGGTCAATCAAAAACGCACAAAACTTAGTTTGAAATGCGTGTTCAGCTCAGCACAGTTACAGCCGAAACCAATACGAGCACTGGAGTTGGTACTAGCCCTCAAACTGATGTTGATTTGAATTAGCATTTTAATACAGAATATACATTAAAATATATTATTTGGGATGCATATTTGTCATAAGAACTAGACACAAAAATACTTTTATTTATATAAAATATTTGGGGTTAATCAGGTATTTTAGTAATTTAAACCCTACTGGAATATATCATCAATATGTTTGATGTTATATTGAAACTTCTGACTGTATCAGCCCACATTTCACTGAACTCTTTGACTTTATAAGCAGATGTTGAAGATGTGAGAATTCTTAATGTGTAATGGCAGGAACTGAAATGTACTCCTTCAGTTATATAATACACACTTGTATAAATTCAGCCCTTTCTTTCTACAAAATAAAAGCTTGTTTTTCCTGATAATACACTTGATTACTTTAGGCAGATTATGAAACATAATAAAAAATAAATAATTTAAGTCTTCTTATTTCTGCACACTAATTGTATTTTTCATAAAAAATATTGTTGTAAAAATAAGGCTCAGAAATTCTCATGTATTTATTTACAGAAAAAAATGATACATACACATAAAAATGGTTACAGTGAGATTGAAATGGTGTCAGATGTCTGCTCTACAGACTGTGGATGATGGTTCGGTTCTTCAGGGACTGGACGTACTCTTTGGCCTGGTCAAAGCTAGTCTTCTTCTCAATTTTGGGTGGTGCGCCCTCCACCAGCTTGACGAAGTAGTGGCAATAAACTTTGTCCATTATGCCAAACATACCCCTGCCGTGGTAACGGATCCGTTTCAGGTACTTCCCTTTGCCAGAATACGACTCGGCTGCAGGAGCAAAGAAAGGATGGGAACAGAGTGAAGTTGAAAGAGGGCAAAAAATTTGGCGGAAGAGAAAGATAAGGGATAAGTTTTAATTTGGAAGAGTGCCCCGCGACGAAAACAGGCCAAAGTAATGAAGGCTGTGCCGGTGGACTTCAGGCTTCTCTGTAATAATGTTTGCAACTCCACATGAATTACTCTGCACAGCATCTCATTTTAAACAAGGCAACAAGCTACCTGCTTTCCATTACTAAAGGTCATTTGCTCACTTTTAAAGGCATCTTCTTGCCTTTGGTGAGAGTGTGTGAATTGATTTGACATTTTCAAGTAGTTTCAGAAAAAAAAAAAAAAATCTTTGAAAAATGTCCCAAAAATAATAATAAATATTTAAACAATATTGCAACTTTAACTTAAAAGCATGCATATTTAGTGCATGTTTTTATTCTTGACAACTTTATGTTAAGACACAAGAGCCTCATAGAGGTTAGCACACTGCATTTACACAGCAGATCATCTACCTAGAGGCTTTGCTCTGGTACTAATGTGCAGATGTTCACACTCACCTACAAACAGGTTGGATTTGTACTCTACGTTGTGATTCTTCACTGCCATCTCCTGAGCTTCAAGAAGGACCTGAAACACACAGGCAAACATTTATTCATAAACTTCAAGCTCATAAAGGATGATGTTAGAATGATGTGTGAACACAGCTCAAACATCTGTAGCATAAGCAGTGAAACCAGGAACGCTTTAATCCAACAGGAATTTGATTAATCTTCACTCTGAGATTGTGTGCACACAAACACACGGTAACAACCAGTTAAAAGGGTGAACATGCAGCTCCAAACCTCTTTCATTATTTTTGCTCCTTTCTTGTCATTAAACTCCAGCTGTGCAATGGCCTCATCGATGCTCATCCCTCTGATCTGGAAAAAAAA